CTGCCAGCAATTCCCAACATGGAAACTTTGCCAAGTCAGCAGGATTAGCATTTGAAAAGACCCCATTCAGCTCTTTTCTTTGGACTGGACTGCAAAGAAACCAAAGCTTTAATTTTTCTCCTAAATTCCCTTATCTTTAGGGATGACACAGAGTCACCTAATCTGTGCAGAAGTACTCTATTTTGAGGGGAATTACGCTGACATTCAGCTTTCTTGGCTCATTTCACATAGCTATTGATAAACAGCCTATTTTGGGGGTCCTTCCTGTCCAAAGAAATAGGCAAGGGCAGTCAGCAGAATGCTCAGCACCACTTAGTGTAGCAGCTAAAGCCCTGAAGCAGAAAGCAGTTGGCAGGCTGTGCCACTCCTCTGAGACAGCTGAACGCTGTCAGAAAGCATCTTCGTCAGCGCAGCATGGCATTGGTTAGGTACCCAGTCCCTTCACAACCTATAATCTATATTCGCTGCCATTGCAGGAGAATGAAAGGAGTATGGATAGGATCGTTTGGTAACAAACACAAGATAATGATATTTGCCTTACATGTGTGTGATAAGCATAAGATAGGTCATTGTGTTGCCTCTCGCCTACTATTTACCCTCCTCTCTCTACTTGCTAAAGCCCAGCTGTGACATGCTATTTTGACAAAGATCCCACAGAAGAGATACAAAACGCATTTACTCAGGAAGTCCAAAATACTGTCCTGATTCATCTTTTCAGTACACGTAGCTTATTTATACCTTCAATTTCTTCTTTGGTGGAAGTAAAGAAGCTTGGATTACAGCATGGGAAGTGAAACGCACCAAACCAGGGTGCAATACAACTACCTTTGGAACTGAAATGAGGCATCTCAGAAGTGAGAGAGATTAGAGAAACCTATCTAATGATCAGTCCCATTATCAGTGCCATAGCGCCAAGATGATGCATACGTTTAGGATAGGAGCTTCACCTACCTAAAGACATGAATGCTCTCGTTTCAACACTCAATGTCCTTCAGTGCAAGAGCGAACTGACTGCTGGTGGGCAGCCTGTTTGCAATAAAACTAGAATCTCCTCTCACTCTAAAAGACAGAGCACAATCACCTGCAACTAGAAAATTTCCTTTGAAAAGAGCAAATTAGCACAACAGGAAAACAGTTCTAAAACTAACTGGTTGGATAAACCCCAAATATCATTAAGAAAATTCACAGAACCTCACATACCAGGAGACTAGCCCTTCCTTTTTCCTAGTACACAACTCCGTTTGTACAGATTTCCCCAAAATAACTTTGGTTTTGGGATTTCAGCCATAATCCTCATACCTGGTAGGACTGAGATCAAACCTTTAAGAAAGGCTTTGCAAGGCCTTCCAAGGCCAAAGAAACCAAACACACAGTAATTTTCCAAGCACATCATAATCAGTGACCAGCGGAATTTGCAAAATTTGTTACATTTAATTGAAACAAATAAAAAGCAAGCAGTGGATCCCATATTCACCACCTGAGATAGTCATAAACTGATGCTTGGAAAGTGATGAGGAGAAACCTTTCACCAAGCTTTGTATTACCTACTTCTGTTCGCTATATAAGCTCTTTGGTTTGTACCACTTGACGTTCCTTAGCCTTGCAATAGCCCCGATTGGTTTTCAATTTCTCTTTATGTTCTAAGTACAACAAGGAAAGAGTTACCAAAAAACAAGCTTTTCTTTCAAGTCCTATGTTGAGTTGAATTTTCCACAACTGAAATGCAGCAAAAAGCTTGCAACGGTTTCCGTAACAGATACAGCAACAGTCCATCAGTGGCACATTTGGTCAAACATACCTCTACACAACTAGCTTTAAAGCCTGGAGGGGATTGTAGACCTCAGAAAAACAGAGCTAGTTGAACTGCAACACTTGAGTAGTTTGCTTTTCTACAGAGCGAAGCATTAACTTTCTTAAAAGATATTTTTTACTAGTGTTTTATTTTTAGCTTTACTAGCTCAGGAGATAAGTAAATGACACAGTCCCCCTACACAGGATCTTCTTATGCCACACAGCAGAAAATGACTTCTGCAGCCAGACCTATTTCAGGATCTCAGCATCCAGTCCTCATCTCACACTGACTTCTCACACTCTGTGCCCAATTGCACACTGTTTCCACAAACCCAGTGATGGCTGAGAATGGAGAGGAAAAAACAGTCTTATAAAGACTTTTTCTGAGACAGTTTACAGGAGCATATAAAGGTGGAACTGTCTCTGAAGGGAATAGACTTTTACCTTAAAGGGCCTCTGCGGAGAAACTGAAAAGAACCTTTTAACAAAGGCTGCTTATGCTCTGAATGTGTCAGCTGTCCGAAAGCAAAGCAATGGGACGGGGAGATGTGAGCTGTAAAACCACATAGGTGCTGGAGTGGTACAGCAACTATGGCTTTTGCAAGATGTTTCTTATCAAACTAAGCACTTCTACAGAAATGAAGATTTTGTCTATATGGAGAAGTTCTACTGTATTGCTATAAGAAAAAAAAACAAGAAGTGCAATCCCATCCTAGTTCAGATGCAGCTGTAACAGCATGAAGCTATTTATATCTGTATAGCATGTTCTGACATAGGAAGAGGAATAACGTGTCCCAAGAAAAGCTACTTCTAAACATATATAACTGTTTGGTCTTTGGGCTGTATTATATTACTGTAGCTACAATAGTAAAAGAAAAAACACAACTCTAAATGACATTGTAACGCTGGTTTCAAACCACATATAGACCAGGTGTTTACTTTAGCAAGGCTCTAGGCCTCCTACTTGGTCCAATGTCCTGCTACCTCACAGAAGCAGGAAACTACCTGTTCTCAGCAACATATTCTGACTTTTCTCTGCTTCTCCTGCCCACACACTGCATACAAGAAGTTAAACTTGCTTCCTCACTTGCTCTAGAGTAGTTGTAAGTAAAAGTGAAATGTATTTCTCGGGCGCTCTAGACCAATTCTAGACAAACAATCCCCTATACCCTTGCGGTTTCTTACAGCAGCTGCAAGGACAACTTTGTGATTCAGAAGTGAACTCCAGCTGAGCCAGTTGCATACTGCCAAAATTTTCCGAGACTACTCAATGAGGTGTTGCTTTGGGTGAAGCTTTCAAAACAAGGTATCAGTCTGTTCTTAAAAGGATGTTACATGGCATACTCCAAAAGCTACAGGTTTTTACTCGGGCTCTCGGCCAAGAACTGTCAGAACACCAAATCTGTGTTTTCTTTATACCTCCGTTTCTAGTGAGTTGTGAGATCTAGCTGAGGTCTTTTTCTGTCAAACCCATCTCACATAAAGAAAAGAAAGCCTGTGTTAGAAGATTTTTGTTCCTAGGAGTACAAACAAGTAAATCAGGGTGCTGAGTCCTTAAAGAGGCACACTGAAATGCTTGCTGACCCCCGCTGCATGTCCTGCCTCTCTCAGAGCCTACTGACCCTGTAACTGGGACGGCTAAGCCTCATGTGAAACAGCTCCAGAAGTACCATGGTTCACAGCCTAATTTACTGAGGTAACCCAAAATCAGCACTAGTTTAATATGTCAGACTATAAACTGCAGTGGTTCGTTCGGGATTGGCGTCACGTACAATTCAACAGCCTCTCAGGAGGGACCAAGTGAGAAACTTAATTGGAGGCATTTATTGATTCCGCTGTTCCTCATTAACTAACGTACATTGACGTCCCAACATCACTGGGATAAAATATAGATCGACCCTGAACTTAGCATTAGTTCTAAATGACAGATTAAATCTTGACCCAGCTCCTTGCAAAGATCCTTGTTTTCCTATCTGAAAGCTCACATTTCAGTTTCTGGTGTGCTAGTTAGAATGACAGCTTTTTCTACATGTAAATATGGACTGAAAAGTGCTGTTTGTATTTGGTGCGTGGTTTGTGGGAACATCCTGGGTGGACAGGACCCGTAATAACTCTCTAATGTCCCACGCTCTGTAATAGCACAGAGGACTTGGGGAAACTGCTGTATCAATAGTGCTATATAGCGTAACATACCTCAATACACTGAAACCATGTTTCATCATATAAGAATGCATATATTAACTAATGATTAATAGAAGTATACTGGAACTAGAAGCAACTAGAATCCAGCTAGCTGTTTGAAGGCACCTGAAACAGAGGCTGCAGTTGTGCTTTTACATTCTAAGTACCGAAGTGGTTTTGGACTGCATGTGGGGATTGGAAACAGCAAGCACACATTCATATAGTATAACAGCATGTTCCTGAATCTCAGCTTTTATTAAATAAAGTAGTAAGTCCTTGCTCTTACAGTTTTGATAAAAACCCGACAATCTGGGATCCAAAAGCAAAGAGCTTTCCGTAGTCCAGAGACACAGTCCTGCTTTGAGTATCTTGTGCTTTGCTGAGAGCAGTATCCTTCCTCTGACCCATATAGCCAGGACTTTGTGGAGGAAGCAATCTTTTGTTCGCCTAACTAGACCCTGCCAACAGTCTATACCATATTTAACAAAAAATGCAGTAATATCTACTACGTATTATTGACTCCTCATAAACTCAGTGTATGTACTTAATGGCCTGCTGCCACTGAACTCAGGGACGATATTCTCTTTGTTTCAATGTAAACAAAATCATGGCCATTGCTTATGCTTAACCAGCTTGGGAGAGATCCATGCTGGGGGAAGCTATCACTTTGTAAAAGTCCTTTGGCTACCCCACTTTTGAAGTTGCCATTGAACATGGCATTCTTGAGCATCCATCTGCTTGTCCAGCCCTTTCAGCTTCTAAGGTAAAATATTATCTTTGAAAAAATGGCATTCACTAATGGCAGTCGGGGCTCTGTTCAGTGCTGCTATTTCCTCCATAAAAGCAACCTGTCCCAGCTGAACTCAACAAGGAAATAAGAATTTCAGATGAGATGTGAGAACAAGGGGGTACCTTATACTGAGCCAGCTTAAGTATTAAACACATTTCGTAAGCAAGGAGTACAGCCAACCCTATCACTACACTTTTATAAAACTGACCTCAGTCAGTTCCTACTGAGATGCGTCTATGTGACTTGCTCTCGTCTGCAAAAGAAATTCTCTTGAAGTTTCTTATTCTTTGAAAGAGACATGGCACAAACTGGACTTACGATTTTTCTACTCATATGCATACTACTGCTGGATCAGACTATCAGCCAGGCTTCAAAATTCAAAGCCAGGAAGCACAGCAAACGTAGAGTGAAAGGTACTGGGCATTAACTGGGAGGAGGGAGAGAGTCTTATGGACTTTATGGAGCTTACTATGTACTTAAATAATACCCCACTAATACGATACAAATGCTTATTAACATAGGAAAGTTAAGTCTATATTATGTCTGTCTTTAAAATATTTTTATGAGGGTTAGTTAAGCCAAGAATAATGTGCCCAAATGAGTTATATAAATAGAGCTGTACAACAGTTATAAATATCTTGCTCTGTTATGCTCATTCAATTCTGCTGACATAATTTAGGACTCACAGGTATAGCTGAGAGAGGATTCTGGCCAATGATTCTTAGTTACTTAGCATATTGACTAAGATCAGAAAAATGGAAATTCATGTACACATGGTGCAAAGAGTAAAATAAAATAATAAAACTCCATGGATTATTGTTCAGATTTTTGTACTATTTCCTAATTTTAATAGAATGTCTGTCTAATATTTATGGAATATTATTTTACCTGGGTGAGAAGCACTGTGAAATGCCAAGTCAAAGCAATAAAAAAGAATTAGTAGGAAAAGATAGAGAATAAATTCCCCAAGCAAAGCTTACAGGACAAATAAAAAAACCCCTTGAATGTTGTTTGGAAATATCCATGTATTTAATTTAAAAGCTTTTTTCTAATAGAAGAGTGTATGATGGAGGTTACACTGCTGGCAAATATTTGAACTCCTAGTCAATGAAAAGAATGTAGCTTTGATAAAGCCATTTTACAAGATGATTATACTGCTCTGGAGCTATACAGTTGTATATATTTGTTTCTCCTTTTGAATCGCTCTATCTACTTCTTAGCTTGGTGTCCTAAAGACATGCTATATTTGTCCTGCCCACACATTTGTCTGTCAGCCTCCCACTAATGACATTCAAGTTCCCCAGGATTTTGTGAAATTCAGAACGTGGCTAGCGAGGTGAGATCTGCATTAGTGTCCCACTATGAAAAATGCTACACCATGAACTCAGCTGCTTTTTTCTCATTTCGACCTGCTATCTGGCCAGATTGAGGGTTATAGCGCCTTCAGTGCAACTGGATGATCAGGTGAGGTAAAACAGATCTGCAGGAACTGTGGTTTTGTTAGTTCACCCACTTGTAGAAGAGCTTATTTATTCTTCAGATTTGTTACGGTGGCTTCTGGAAGGCCTGATTACTGCTGCAATCAACTTGTACTCTTGTGCAATGGAAACGTGCCTGCTAGTTGTTTGATAGTAGTGGGTTATTATGATGATTAAGAAAAAAAATTTTTTAAAGGGGACTGAAAATGGAGTTAATATGTGCAAATTAGCACCTGTTCTTGTCCCACCATTTTCTGGGTGCAAAGCACCAGAAAATGGTGACTCAGCGTGAATTTAGGTGACTCAAGTGGAAGCGCTGTTTGAGCATCCCAGGCCCTCTCTGTGCTGGCTCCTCCAGCACCTCTGATGGGAGGGGAGGGAGACCATGCAGCTTAGCAAGCTTGTCTGTCCCTCACTGCATCAAAGCAAGAGTTGTGTGGAACATTTATGCTCCCCCAATTAACATTTCTTTGAATAAACAAAACTTGTGTCCTGCTCTTATTAGGCTTCCTGTAAAAATAGGAGGGATCCACCTTTACCTTTCACCTTTGTTGTTTAAATCTCATTTTCAGTTGGATCATATCCCAGTAATTGTTTGAAAAACATGCATTCTTGATGCTTATTAGTATGCCAGTATCTAATTTACAGCAAAATTTGCCTATTTATTTTTGAACCTGTACACTGTTGGTTCCGAAATTATTCCTTTCATTAAGGAAAAATCTTTATTTCAAAAGGTATCTCAACAATGCAGAAATCCATGATATTTTGAAACAGCTTTTGACATAAAAAGTATCAATTTTTGCATGCTTATCTGCTCATCTCTCTGTGTATTCACTTTATTTAAGAAAAGGATGACCTGAAGACCCAGATTGACAAACTGTGGCGAGAGGTAAACGCTCTGAAAGAAATGCAAGCACTTCAGACAGGTAAATCAGCTCACATTGTATCACTACCTTCTCTCTCTCCCACTCCGCACTCTCACTCATATCGTTAACGGGGACTTCTGACTCTGAGAAATACATGTCCTTAAGAACATGGTACACCGCACCTGTAACGAGGAGACAAGTGCTGATGGATGCATTCAAGTAAAATCAAGTATGATGCATTCGAACGATCTGTGTGCAAGTGGTGATTCTCCACTAAAGCCCTCTGGAGCAAGCATTACTTTTGTCTTTGCTCTGCACAGCCCCACACTGTGATTCTCATGCATTTTAGGTATGCATGAGACATATGCTTAGACAAAGGCAACACGAGGATTGCTAGGTTTCTGAGTGCAGACAGTCCATAAGTTAGGACCCCAGCTTGGATGTAAGACTGATTAACTATCAAGACAAAATATTTGAAAATAGAAAGCTAAAGAGAATACCTGGAAAAATAAAGCGTGCAATTTGCTATAGTCAAAAATGAATGTTGCCATAAAACTTCAAAGTAGCATCCACTGTGAGCTGAGAAGTATCCTGAATCAATATGCAGAGTCCTTTAAGTATTTAAATAGCCAGATGGAAATTTCCAAACAAAATAAGCAGGGTAAATATACATGCACCTAGACAGTTCTGTTTTTTCGCAGCTGTTGACACAAAACTTGGCAATTAAATATGTACAAGAGGACATTACAGAGGAAATGACATCATTCACATGAAACAGAACATATTTTGCTTCTGGATGGTAATATCTGGGTTGTCCTGTTCTATGTGTTCAGCTACACAGAGCTTTGTGAGCTATAGAAAATATTTTTCTTTTAAATTAAGAAGTCAGACTTTAGAGATTTCTTATAAGAGGAAGCCTGTGCTAGACAAGTAACTTTTGTTTAAAAGTAGTTCTTGTACTGCCTCCAGAAGGAGCTTGAGAGTAATCATACAGTGGCTTAGAAATGAAACCAGAGCCAGGAGAATTTCTATCCTCACCACTTATTTTGAGCTATAGTCTAAATCCAGAACCTACACTGTTCAACTGGATTCCAAATCTGGTAAAAGAGATCTATCACCCTCCAGCTCTGATTACCTGTATTTATTAATGGCCTCATGAAACTCTAAAGTAGCTGATTTTTTTAGTTTGCAGGCATTTCCAAAACACATATATTACAATCTGACTTCTTTTATCTGAATTCCCATGTCTTTTTTCTATATATTGTGAAATGTATGTATTCTGCTATTAGCAGCGTGTACTTTTTCCCTAAAGAGGACAAATTACTGCATAATTTGTCATATATATATGTCCATAATTACATATTTACATAATCACATAATTACATATATATATGTCCATAATTACTGCAGCATTACTGAAGTAAGCAGGTAAAGTCTTTCTGATCTTTCCTATGAATAAAAGGTTTGCTAAAGGGTTTGAAATTTGGTAAATATGTTCATTTCTTTGGCTATTGTTAACTTTAGCAGCTGCAAAAGATGAAAAGTTTGAAGGGTCAGTCCTATAGCAAAATGATAATCTTGAAAATGCAGCTAAAGAATACAATGAATACTACAACTGGAAGTGCTAAAGAACTGAGACATACAGAATACGATCCAAAGTGGATTTCCACATCCTGTTGATCAGATGATTACGACTTTACCAGAACAGATGACAGGAATTAGAAACAGATTATAGAAAACATCAGGACAGAAGATGTTCATATTGTTTCACAACATATTTGTAGTATAAGTACAAGATGAAATTAAGCATTAAATGAAACAGGCTGGAAGTAGTCAGATGGAGGATTCCAAAAATAACTGCTAAAGAAGTTTTATCTAAGCCCTTTTCTACCTTCATAAACTCAGAAGGAACACTCCTTCAAGCTTGGAGTTCTCTTCTTGTACGTATTGTTCTTAGGAGAATCAGTTTTTCACACATCTGCATGAGAAGAGCTGGAAAGTAAAGTTTAAAGATTCCTTCCTGCAAGCTTACCCACACAGACTGCAGAAGGAAGAACTCTGACAGAGGCAATTCCAGATACAGAGTAGAGGCCAAAGTCACGTTCTAGCACATTTTTACTTTACATCAAGACTTCCCTGATATGCTCCAGTGGATAAAACTAAGCATAGGGAAAGGACTTGGGAAGGGACATGCTGGCATACCTGTGGCTACCACATGTGGTTGTAAAATTAAAAGCAAACAGATTTATAAATGCAAACGTTCAGATTATTTGGTTCAGATTGTCACGCAAGCTCAGTAATGAGCGTGCTCTTGCTTTTTAAAAAAGTTTATAGACTTAAGTCACTTTATCCCATTTGAATTTAGATTTTGAAGACAAAGACTTTGCTGGAAGGTCTAGAAATTAATAAGTAAAGAGGTAAATGCATACTCTTCTGCAGATTGCAATATACTTTTATCGATTGTCCAGGCAGAGAATTGCATTATGAACTTCAAATCAGTATTTTTCTGGTGAGCAGGATACATTTAAAATATCATTTTCATGTTTTCTGTCCTTCACTTGTCTGCAACGAGCTAGGCGTAGCTAATGCATGACACTTACTTTGGCACTTAAATATCGTTAAGTATGGAAAGATCTTTAAAGCTATCTCTTTAGTATAAGGCCAAGTACAGATTTCCTGATGACTAACTCACATCTGCCAACAGAACAAACATCCGTTCCTCATCCACTTCATCAGTTTTAAGGACTGATGAAGGTAAAATGTGTGAAAGCAGAATTATTTACAAAAAGAAGTTATAAGACATACTGACAGCAGACTTGAGTTATATTTTAGTGTTCCGGAACAGTAGAATCAAAAATTTCTTGAGATAATTAAATTGCTGGAAGGAATCTGGGGCTTGAGATCATGCCCCAGGTTCATTAGAATACACACGGGAAAGATTTTCCAAAGCACTTTATGATGTTAAGACCACAGCTATGTGTATCCTTCCTCTTATGTGACTTTTCTCTGGAGCAGCCCTAAGAACAGCATGCTGTGCTTCTGGCTGCCCTTGTACCCAAGGGTGCTTTGAAGAGTGCCTTTGGACACCCTGTCCAGACGTACCCAAAACACACTAATACACTGGCTGTGTGGCAGGAGGAATGGCAGTCCCTGACTGGTCCCACTACTACTTTCAGGACCACGCTGAGATAGACCTTCTATAAACAGAGCCATTCATTCGCTGAAAGATTTGTCTGCTTAATGCCCAGCATACCTTTAGAAAATTGTCACCTTTTTAGGAAACATTACTTTTAGCTTTTACTAAACACGCAAGCTGTTACCTGTTCACAGTCTGTCTTCGTGGGACAAAGGCCCATAAGAAGTGCTACCTTGTATCTGAAGGCACCAAACATTTCCATGAAGCCAATGAAGACTGCATAGCCAAGGGAGGGACACTGGCTATCCCAAGGAGTAGTGACGAAACAAACGCTCTTCGAGACTACGGCAAGAAAAGCATGCCTACAGTGTCTGAGTTTTGGTTGGGTGTCAATGACCTGATAAATGAAGGGAAATTTGTTGATGTCAATGGCATGGTTCTACAGTACTTCAACTGGGATCGCTCCCAACCAAACGGGGGGAAGCGTGAAAACTGTGTCTTTTTTTCTCAGTCATCACAAGGCAAGTGGGTGGATGAAGTCTGCCGTACTGCCAAAAGATATATTTGTGAATTTCTGATCCCATAAATCCATATACAAATTATTATGACCACGTTCAGGGTTATAAACATGCAGCTTTGCATGCTAGTAGCCTCTCCCACTTAGACAGTGGTAAGTTAAAAATATCCATCTCCTGCATTGTACTCAATCTTTCTTGAGACATAAATTTTCTTTATTAATTTATTTTCTATTCAGATGCTAAACATGATATATATTTAGTGAGTGCTCTCACCACGTACAGGAATATACATTACGATTTGATCTATACTGCATTGTATTTTGCCATATTTTCTCAACCTGATGTTCGGGTTGCTGGAATTCACCTTCTAGTTCTGTACTTCATATCTCCTTTGTAGGATAGGGTTTGCATGATCTCAGAGCTCTAGCGAATTTATTGAAAGTTTACAAACAGCTGTAAGGTGGCATGTGCCAACATAAAGCTTAGGGATTCTAGGACGCCAAGGGTTAAAAATAACCCTTGTGTTATGTAAGCTTCTGCAAAAAAAATGGCCATCATCCTATAGAGTTTAACAGGATGGATCTGTGACCAAGATTTTTACCTATGGGTTAAGAAAGCTAAACAAAACAGGAAAATCTGATGTGTATTTTTTAAAAATACACGGAGTCAAAAGTGATAAACTGTTAGAAAATGGGGGAAGTAGTGGCTCTGAAACATTAGTTAGTCTAAATGTGATTGCTTCTAACTAGATTGTCTCAATATTAACTACTGAATATTAAATGCCACCTGGAATGTTCCCATAGAAGAAACCAACGTGGGACTAGATTGTACCTCTACTGTATGGTATTACCATGCATAGCAAGATGTGCAGAAGGCCTCTCTCCGGCAGGAGCAGAAAGAGGCTTTGCAACACTGTCCTGCTGAGCCACAGCATGCATGAACAGAGAGGCATAGTCCCCTTTTTGGGCACAATATCACCACACATTCACCTCTTCCCAGATGGCAGGCAACACGCCCGAGTGGCACAAAGGAGTGTGCCACACCATCACTTGTTTGCCCACATGCAAATTTCCAACTTAAGAGCTGGCATTTGAAAGTGAAGCAAAATGTGCTGATTATTTTTTGTTGTTCTTAACCTCATAATATTGGTTTACCTCCATGTTATAAACTACAGTTTCTTTCTTGTGTAATGGAATGTCAGTTAACTATTTAAATATATTGTTGCTTGGAAGCTAACTCTTAATTTTTCTCTTTTAATTATGCAGGATATCCTTAAATTGTGCAATAAATTTGCAATTGCTGGTATTTAAGTGCAGTAGCGTTTTTGAGAGCTTGAGCATATATGTGAAGACCATTCTTTCCTAGTGCTTTTCTTAAAGGTTATTTTCTTAAGACTAGTGTACTTACATGCTGCAGAACAAACTTTGGATCCCAGCTTGCATAAATGGTGTATGAGATGCAGCTATTCCATGCCATTGTAGTATGCACTGTAATCCATTCAATTTCCCAGCACTTTATGAATTTCAGAATCAGGCCTGATTCTGAATTCTCTTACCTTTCTCCTCAGTTAAAATAAAGGAGTAAAGAAAGTCCCCAAATATCTCCAACTTTCTTTCAAAATCTACCAACCTTTACTACGTTTGGGAAGTGACACTCCTTTCATCTATATGTTAATAGAATTAAAAGTCTGCAGTAATTTAGAGTGTCTTTTTTTACCTCTGGCTTGTCCAAAATAGTTCAGTATCTGAGCATAGCCCTACAGCTACAGTCAAATTGCAAATTCACCACAAATTCAAGAAACTATTTCCACAAATGATTATCAAATTTGAGAAGTTTATTATTAATTTTATGTCCTGTTTTCTTCAAACTACTTTAGCCAAGCTTCTCAAGTTATGGGCAGGAATTGAAAACGGTTATAGATATTACTAGTGGACATTCATCATGCAGCAACTACTGAGACCATAGACATAAATAACCATTTATCTAGTAGTGATTACTTCACAAAGACAAAACTCACCACAAAGAAATCGGTAATAAAAATTCAGGATTCCCAGTAGAATCCTTAGCTAAGTAATAACAGAGAGAGAGACCTGAAGAAAAGACAAAATATGACGGAAAAAATGGGACGGATGGAGGGGAAAAAAGAGATGGAAGTGGGACGGAAAACAACAGAAAGGCCTGCAATGGGACCAGGAGAGACAGAAAATCAAGATGGCAGGGAGATAAAACTTTGTCCTGTCAAGTTAACTGTCACTCTGTCTTTCTTCTCAATGACTGCCACTTTATAAAGTGAGCTCAGAGTAGGGATGAATATTTGCTGCCTGGTGGGCAGCCAGCCTGACACAGACTGAAGGAAAGCTTGGACCTTTCTCTGCGCTACTTCTTATCCCAAGATCTTATGTCAGGGACCTTTCCTTTCTCTCACATTTCCGATTTAAGCAGATTAGGCTCCTTTCTGTACCCCCATCTCCTGTGACTAGTTTCTAAAATCTCTGAGGTCTCCTAGTGATGTTTTCCCTTATCCATACTTCTTCCCTTCCCTCCCTACTCCCAAGTACGTGAATACACTTTGATCAAAAAGGAAATAAGAACTGCGAGGCTTGCACGTTATTCTTGAAACTTAACAGGCTTGATTAAAGGATGGTCTCCACTAAGTACAGCTTAGCTATTCAGCCCTGCTCATGGGTGGTTAGTCACTTAGTGATTTCCCACTTCCATCATGGACAGCTATTACAGCTCAGCTGGGAACGGCCTGAGTGAAAAGGAATTCAGCGGGACCCAATTAGCAACTTCTAGGTACACTACTGTAAAACCAACAACAGAAAAAGCTCTAACACTTACACCTAGTGGTGTAACAGAAGAATGCAGAATATACTAAATTTGAAGTGTCATTTTATCATAACTTTTGCTTTTAGTTCCTTCTAATTGTTTCCAAAAGGAAAAATTCCAGTGTAACATTTCAAACATATACGATTGTGTTTGGAAGAAAATAGAAAATAAACATTTTTGAAAGTTTATATAAATACTTAACTTTCAAAAGTGCCTAACACTCATCAGCTAAACTTAGATTCTTTTTACTTTTGACGTTAGCAAATTTTGATTATAGACAGAAGAAATAAGTTTTTTTTTAAGCTCAAAATGTCTTCTGGACTGTGTTGTAACAGTTATGAAGTTCCAAGCAGACACTCTGATAGAAACATCAGGAATGGTACCCTGGTTATACAACAATTAAAAAAACCCTAAAACCACTTCTTGCAATGTAGCAGCATGACAGGTCAAATATTATTATGTGATTTTCTCCCCACTTATTCCACACTTTTGTTCGCCTTCTTACCTTGCATCTGATCTGTCCAAGGATTTCACTGCTTCTTTGTTCCACCCCAAGGGAGGTCTCACTCGGCTCACCTTCCTACCCACAGCAGGAGCCAACAGCTAGGGATGGACACTTACATACGTGCCTTTGCCTCCCCAGCCTTTATGACTCAATAGCAGAAAACATTGCAGTCACGCGGCATATTAGGGTGGCATGGGACCAGGTCACAGTCACCTCCTTGTGACAGGGACAATTTGTCTCACATAAGAGCAAGAGGCTGCCCCTCACAGCCACACAAGACTGAACGAGGCTTGCAGTACTCACCTTGTTTCTGCTTTGTTATGTATTTTAGCAGTGATTTGTTTCCAGCATAAGAGCTAGTAGTTACAATAGGTTTTCAGAAGGGAAAACTCTTGCATCCTATTCATTACACAGGTGAAATGCATCACTGCTGCTTGGTCTGGGTTCAG